TTCGCGAGGAGTTGGTGGTTGCCTGGAATGAGGTACCACAGGAGGACATTGACCACCTGATCAGAAGCATGCCTAGGCGCGTTGGAGAATGCGTAGCACATCAGGGTGCATCCACACATTATTAAAGGTCAAACGGCTTTAAAGCAGTGCAATCATTTTGAAATTTTTATCATTTACTTATTATGCTTCATTAAGTACTTATACAAAATTTTATTAAAATAAAACCATTTAAACTGGGTGTTCGGATTTATATGTCACTTAGTATATTATGCTATAGATTTACTATATGAAGTAACCCGGTATTTTGGAGTTCACTGCTTCCTGCACAGCTCGACTCTCGTACAGTTGCTATTTTTACGGACAGTGTTTACAGTGAAAAAAAATGAGAATTTTACGATGCCAAACACCTAAGTGGTTTATCTATCCTTTGTTCGCGTTGCATTTTACATTTATTGTTATTATTATGGTGGTAATATTGTAACTGTGCTCTCGTAGCTATCACCAGCTAATCCATATATTTTTCTTCGTGTTATTTAACTGTTCATTGCGGTTTTTGTTTGTGAAGACAAGTGATGTGATATAATAATGAAGTGTCTTTGTCTGTTGTGTCTGTTTGGTAGAACAGCATTACAAATGAGGTAATGTTATACTATTAGGTCCATTTAAGTTATTATTTATTAGTATTAAAAGCCAGTGTATGGATATTTCCCAAAAATAAAGCCAAGTTACTGAGTTTAACGATTTGACGCCGTCAGATCACTGACTCTTGATAATTTTTACAAAATTTTATTTGACATGTTTCTTAATGTGTGCAAATCTTGGAACTGAATTGTGAACCAGTAAGTTTTAACCAATTCAACTGAAATTGTGTATACATGCTTGGTTCACGTGATGATACAAAATGAATTAACCGGCGCCATTTTGAATCCAATATGGCGGACGTTACAAATTCTCGATTTATCATTGCCATAGCAACCCTTATAATGTGGGTATCAAATGGAATAAGTTGATGAGAGAAACATAATAAACAAAGTGACGTCATTCTAAACCCAATTTGGCGATTGCAGCATAATGGCGAGTTATATCTTTCATAGTTACCTCAATGGACGGGCGGAACATAACAAACAAAGTGACGTCATTGTAATTCCAATATGTCTACCTCCACGACATAGCTATTCACATTTAATCAGCAAAGTGACTTAATTCTAAATTCAATAAGCCGGCTCCTGTAAAATGGAGATTTATAATTTCCTTAGCCATCGCTATACTGTGGGTCACATCATTCTAAATCCAACATGGCGCCCACCGCAAAATGGCGATTTATAGTTTCCATAGTCATCCGAATGATATGGGTGTCAAATGAAAAGGGTTGAGAGAAACACAATAAACAAAGTGACGTCGTTCTAATTCCAATATGTCGACCGCCACAAAATGGCTATTCACATCTTTCATAGTCACTCCTAAACCATGGGTATGGGTATCAAATAAGGGTTTGATGAGGGAAACATAATAAGCCAAAATTCTGTTTCCTAGCGTTCAACGATTTGACGCCATCAGTTCATTGACTCTTGATAATTTTTACAAAATTTTATTTGACATGTTTCTTAATGTGTGATAAATATTGGAACTGTATTTTGGATCAGTAAGTTTTAACCAATTCAGTTGAAATTGTGTATACATGCTTGGTTCACGTGGTAATACAAAATGAATTAACCGGCGCCATTTTGAATCCAATATGGCAGATGTTACAAATTGTCGATTTATCATTTCCATCCTTATAATGTATCAAATGGAAGAAGTTGATGAGAGAAACATAATAAACAAAGTGACGTCATTCTGTATCCAATATAGCAATCGCAGCAAAATGGCGATTTATATATTTCATAGTCCCCCCCAATGATATGGATATCAAATGGGAGGGCTTGATGAGAGAAACACAATAAACAAAGTGACGTCGTTCTAATTCCAATATATCGACCGCCACAAAATGGCTATTCACATTTTTATAGCCACCCCTATGCCATGGGTATCAAACGAAAGGGCTTGATGAGGGAAACATTATAAGCAAAGTGACGTCATTTTAAATTCCATGTATCGCTTCAAAATAGCGACATCAATCGACATTTTATGATACAAGTAAAGTAGTAAGTTCTACAAATACATGGTTTTTGTACTAGTCGAAAAGTGTTCATAAATAGATCTTGGCATCTGATATGAATCTAATTATGATGTATCATAATTTTGTATTTACCGAGGTCGCAGTAGAGCTACCTAACCTAGATAATATGAATGTAAGCATTTTATGAGGAGTACTCGGGAGGCACGCATGGTTGCGTGTGCGGTTGATATGTTGACTGGACGATAATGCTAGGTTTATTCTTATCATTATCATTGCTTTATGAAGCAAAATGGGTGCTTTCACGTCACACAATTGTTTTTTCATAAACATTTCTTCTGGCGTAACTCTGCGTTTTAATCAGTGGCAATCGATAAATCCGTTTTCAAATGAACACCCTGTATAATGACCCTAATAAGAGAAGGATTCAAGGAAGCATTACGTTTTTAATATGATAAACTCGATCTTTGCACACCTTCTTTCTCTTTTTCGGTGCTGTTTCGCTTTGCCATTTCAAACGCAATTCTGAAAAGAGAAGCCCCAACTTCCAAAGCGCTCTGCATATCAGTCGCTATGGCTTTGAGGTACGTATAAAACATAGTTTTCTTACGCAAGCTCCGCGTCCAAGTTTCCATGACGTACCTCTCTACGCAGGTTATGACGAATATCTCACCTAGATTTTACGGAAGAGCGTTCGTCCGTTAGCAGAGTGGCGTTTTTCCAATGTACAATCTAGTGTAAACATTGAAAAGGCACGCAAACCTCCGCCGTTGATCGACTCTTGCACGAATGGACAATTATGCAACGATCTGTGCATTCGACAAATATGCTTTAAGCTTATGGCTCTCAGGTCTGGGCTATTTCGTTGCTTGTTATCTTTGAGGTAGTATCTGTGTAAAGGGTGGGTCGTCCGTTGGTTTTTCGAAGTTGGTATTATTTTGACAGTTGGTAACATTTCCAGGCCTGCCCATTTCAGGTGTTCTCACACTTAGAGGTCTACCGTCAGATGTTCCTTTTCAGACAGAACCAGTTTCAACAAGACGACGATGAATATTAGAAAAGGTTCGACCATCTGGCAAAGCACGATCGGGGTATCTCTGGTGATAAATCCGTCTGGCTTGCTCACCATTACCGTCGGCAAGGCCGTATACGTAATGCATTTCCGCCATTTCTGCATTTGAGTAACAGAGACTTGTCAGATGTCAAAAGCCAGTGACATATTCCAGAGCAACTATATATACTGACATATAAATCCGAACACCCAGTTTAAATGGTTTTATTTTAATAAAAGTTGGTGAATGTATTTACCTTACTGTAAATAACAAGTTAAAAAATTTTCAGCCTTATCAGTTGGACATTCCGGTTTTTATACTGCTTTTTTTTAATTCACTAACGCTCTAAAAATGAATATTTCAGCCGCAGTAAAGAATCAACGTTGGCGGATTTTGGTTCTTGACATCCTTTACGATCGGTTACGATGCCTAGAGTACGGAGACCTGTACGATTTCGTCAACTTAGTGAGTTTGATAGGGGCCGTATAGTGGGACTTCGGGAAGCTGGACTTTCTTTTCGGGCAATTGCAGTTAGAGTGCAAAGAAGTGTAGATACTGTGGTTAGGTGTTGTCAGGCATGGCTTCGAGAAGGCCGTACGCAAAGAGCAAGGGGCACTGGACGCCGCCGTAGAACAACAGACCGTGAAGATCGCCGCCTAAGATTATTGGCCTTAAGGGACCGTATCTCCACTACCAGGTCCATTGCAAATGAATGGTTTGCAGAACACGGAAGACCTACTATATTGGCATGCGAAGTGTTCACCGACGAATGAGAAGTTTTGGCTTGTTTTCATACCGGCCACACTGGGTCCTCCCTTTAACTCGAGAACACCGACGCAATCGCCTTGAGTGGTGCAGACAACGGTCACTCTGGGATCAGGAATGGAGCAGTATTGTCTTTAGTGACGAGTCTCGATTTTGTTTAGGCATGCACGATGGTCGTGCCAGGGTTAGAAGGTGACGTGGTGAAAGGAGGAATCCACAGTTTTTTGTTGAAAGACATGAACGCGCAGCGTTATATCCACGAAGTTCTAGAACCCCATCTTAACACCCTGCCAGATCCAACTTTCCAACAAGATAATGCCCGACCACATGTTGCAAGAGTCACAATAGACTTCTTTCAACATAGTGATGTCACATTGTTACCATGGCCACCAAGATCTCTCGACTTATCCCCAATTGAGCACGTGTGGGATATGATGGGTAGGAGATTGCTCAATTTGCAACGTCCTCCTCAGACTCTAGAAGCACTTCGAGAGGAGTTGGTGGTTGCCTGGAATGAGATACCACAGGAGGACATTGACCACCTGATCAGAAGCATGCCTAGGCGTGTTGGAGAATGCGTAGCACATCAGGGTGCATCCACACATTATTAAAGGTCAAAGGGTTTTAAAGCAGTGCAATCATTTTGAAATTTTTATCATTTACTTATTATGCTTCATTAAGTACTTATACAAAATTTTATTAAAATAAAACCATTTAAACTGGGTGTTCGGATTTATATGTCACTTAGTATATATCCTAGTTTTCGATTGCGTCGTGAGGTATTTGTTTCTCCAGATTGTATTGTTGAGACATCATGCTGATATCTTCGCCATGTTCATTTGTTTTTGCACTTCTTCCACTTTTCCATAGCGTGATAGTTTGATTCCCAAGTATTCCGTTTCGATCACTTGTTCTATTATTTTGTTATTTACGACCAGTCTCGGTTCCGCTGGTATCACTATCGATTTAGTTTCCTCTGTTGAAATCGCCATGTTGTTTATGAGCATGCCTTATATGTATTTATGTGTTTGATTGCTTTGACTCAAGCTATACTTTTTTTATTTCAGATCGGATGGCACCGAGTCGCCTATTCTTGAAGAACAAGACAACTCAGAAAAGCCCAAAGTGAAATACGGCGAACTAGTCATTTTAGGGTGAGTGTTTATTCGATATTCAGTAGTTTACGGTCTGTCGATAGTCGAAAGACTGCGATTAATTATGAATCATTCGATTTAGTGGGTCAATAAACCGTGAGGTAAACAACAGAGGAAGTGTGTGTCTGGAATACGGAATGTATGTCCCTATATGAGGAGCTATTTTGGCAAAATAAATTGGAAGGACACTGTGGTGTGCCGTTATATCTTTATTCGCGAACGGCACAATGAATTTTTCATTTGAAAAAACGAATTTACATTGGAAACGCTTATTTTTAAGCTATTTTTCTAAATAATAATAATAATAAATGTCTTTATTGAAATCTTCGAATTGAGGCGAAGTTTAGCCACATGGCTACTCTACCACTTAACCTCAAAAACGAAGTGAAAAAATAATAATAATAATAAGGACAATAGTACAGTACAGAAAAATAAAAAGAAAACAATGAACAATTACAGAATGTATAAAGCATGGAAAATTTACAAAAGCTACAAAATCAGTCGGCTAATCATCAGGGATTTTTAAAAAGGCAATTCCAAAAGAGCAGATTTGTATTTAATTTTAAAAACAGGTAAGCTTTTGGACTTGAGTACCTGGTTGACAGAGTTGTAAGTCCTGATAGCATTGTACGTAAAACATCTTCGGAATATACATGTTCTGTGGAATGGCATACCGAAGAGATGGTTATGTCGTAGGGCTCTAGAAATGACTTGACCACGAGGTACAAGTTTGTCCATAAGATAAATGGGTGACCTTGTGGAAACCAATTTATGGACAAATACACCCAAAGAGAAAGTATAGTGTTTATCAAGTTTTAGCCATTTTAGCTCTTTTATCTTAGACGATACGTGATCATACCTTCTGAGGCCATATACGAACCGACAACAACTGTTTTGGATTTTCTGCAGTCTATCTTTAGTGTTATAATCAATACAAGGATAATAAAGAACCGGCGAATAAAATATTTTACACATAACAAGACTCTCAACAAGTTTTTTCCGCGTTTTGAAATTAAGAATGTGCCGGTTTGAATATAATAATATTAACGATATATATGTGGATTTAAGGGTGGCATTCACGTGCTGATTAAAACGGAGGTCTTTATCCAAAATAACGCCCAGGTGCTTCGTTAACTAAGGGTATGACAGTATGATTCACAGACAGTTGGATTAGATCAACAACATTAACTGGAAAATTATGTGGACTAAAGACAATAGCATTCGATTTACTAGGGTTTATTTTCAGTGAGTGCCGTTTGCAGAAATTATCAATATTAGCTAAGTCGACATTAAGTTTATAAGAAATTTCATTGAAGTTGCTAGAGTCAAAATTAAATGTTGACTGTGTATCGTCTGCATAAGTTTGGATTGCGCAATGCTAAACACTGTTATGCAAGTCAAACGTGAAAACCAAATAAAGTAGAGGTCCCAAGATCGAGCCCTGTGGAACTCCAGAAGGAACATACTTGGGCACAGATACACCTTTACTGGTTTTCACCTTTTGCGTTCGATTAGACAAGTAAGAGTCAAAGAACATAAGAGCAGTATTACCTAAACCAAGGTACTTCAACTTACTCAAAAGTATACGGTGGTTCACAGAATCAAACGCTTTAGATAAATCAAGCATAACCAATATTGTACCAATGCGATCATCCAAATTTCTGATTATGTTATCAATTATATATAACAAAGCAGTTTTAGTACTATGATTCTTGCGGAATCCAGACTGATGTATCGGAAACATATGATCAAGTTCAAGGTACTCAATAAATAGTCGTACTCGCCGATCATCGTCTAGGATCGCCGTTTGATAAACTACTACCGACGCTCGTGTGGATGCTTTTGAACGCAGACATTACGCTTTGATGAGTTTTTCCCTACGACGATTTTGGATTGCCCGTCTCAGCTTTACGGATTTCCGAGAACTTTGAAAATTTTATTTTTTCAAAAACCATCGTAATAGTCGAGGTTTTTGGAAATAACGCCGTGTTTCTGTGCGATACTGCTGCGTCTATGGCTCTCGAACTATACTAAGTGACATATAAATCCGAACACCCAGTTTATGTTAAATGGTTTTATTTTAATAAAATTTTGTATAAGTACTTAATGAAGCATAATAAGTAAATGATAAAAATTTCAAAATGATTGCACTGCTTTGAAGCCCTTTGACCTTTAATAATGTGTGGATGCACCCTGATGTGCTACGCATTCTCCAACGCGCCTAGGCATGCTTCTGATCAGGTGGTCAATGTCCTCCTGTGGTATCTCATTCCAGGCAACCACCAACTCCTCTCGAAGTGCTTCTAGAGTCTGAGGAGGACGTTGCAAATTCAACAATCTCCTACCCATCATATCCCACACGTGCTCAATTGGAGATAAGTCGGGAGATCTTGGTGGCCATGGTAACAATGTGACATCAATATGTTGAAAGAAGTCTATTGTGACTCTTGCAACATGTGGTCGGGCATTATCTTGTTGGAAAGTTGGATCTGCCAGGGTGTCAAGATAGAAAGTAAAAGAAGGGGTTCTAGAACTTTGTGGATATAACGCTGCCCGTTCATGTTACCTCTGATGAAGATTAAAGGTGACCTGGAACCATAAGCTATAGCACCCCAAACCATAACTCCAACAGTGTGATGAACATGTCTTTCAACAAAAAACTGTGGATTCCTCCTTTCACCACGTCGCCTTCTAACCCTGGCACGACCATCGTGCACGCCTAAACAAAATCGAGACTCGTCACTAAAGTCAATACTGTTCCATTCCTGATCCCAGAGTGACCGTTGTCTGCACCACTCAAGGCGATTATGTCGGTGTTCTCGAGTTAAAGGGAGGACCCAGTGTGGCCGATATGAAATCAAGCCAAAACTTCTCATTCGTCGGTAAACACTTCGCATGCCAATAGGTCTTCCGTGTTCTGCAAACCATGCATTTGCAATGGACCTGGTAGTGGAGAAACGGACCCTTAAGGCCAATAATCTTAGGCGGCGATCTTCACGGTCTGTTGTTCTACGGCGGCGTCCAGTGCCCTTTGCTCTTTGCGTACGGCTTTCTCGAAGCCATGCCTGACAACACCTAACCACAGTGTCTACACTTCTTTGCACTCTAACTGCAATTGCCCGAAAAGAAAGTCCAGCTTCCCGAAGTCCCACTATACGGCTCCTATCAAACTCACTAAGTTGACGAAATCGTACAGGTCTCCGTACTCTAGGCATCGTAACTGATCGTAAAGGATGTCAAGAACCAAAATCCGCCAACGTCGATTCTTTACTGCGGCTGAAATATTCATTTTTAGAGCGTTAGTGAATTAAAAAAAAGCAGTATAAAAACCAGAATGTCCAACTGATAAGGCTGAAAATTTTTTCACTTGTTATTTACAGTAAGATAAATACATTCACCAACTTTTATTAAAATAAAACCATTTAAACTGGGTGTTCGGATTTATATGTCACTTAGTATACATACCCGATGTTAATGAAAGGTCTTGGATGTACAATTATTATGTATCCATCGAAGAAAGAGACCAAACCTAAACATATTCACGTATACTCGACGTGATCGCGCTCCAGAACGCCGAGCACGTTACAGGGCCGTACTTAGAATAAATGATTTGTGGTTCACACGATCAAAAAGTATGCAAAATTATTGCAGGCATGTATAGGGTCCAAACGTAACGCTTGGAATTGATGTATTTTTTTAATTGTTATTATTATTATTATTATTATCCCATCACAAATGAATACTTGAATATCCTATCATGTAACGGATTTCTGTCCTATATAAACCTGCCTACAAGGTCCATCAGTGGCACATGTATAGATCACTGCTTTGTGAAAGACCTATCCAACAAAATTACTTGTATACCAATAATCCTAGAAAGCGATATTACTGACCACTTCTCCACTATTTTACTGATATCTTCAAATGAAAAACATTCTAACATCCCTACCGTTAATAACAACCAGGAAAATTACAAATTTTTTGTCGACAATTCAAAACTAATATCAAATGTCAAACAAGAATCCTGGGAACAATTATACTCAATAAATAATATAGACAAAGCAGCGGGACTGTTCATAGAGAAAATAAAAAAACTAATAGATATTAGTACCAATAAAGTAATAATTAGTCACAAAGAGAAAAGCAGAAATGCCTGGATTACCAAAGGATTAATAACATCGACAATAGAAAAAGAAAGACTATATAATGTAATGAACCTAACGCCAACTACAGAGAATACCGACTGTTACAACCAATATAAAAATAAATTTATAGAGCTTGCAAGGCAAACCAAACGAAAACATTACCTAAATAAATTAAATAATAACTTAAATGATCCTAAGCGGCTTTGGACAACTATTGATGAGATTACTGGGAAAACCAAATTTAAAGAGTGTGTCACTGAGTTAAATACAACATCGGGAACAGTATTAAAAAATACTCAACAGATATGCGATGAATTTGTACAATTCTTTACTGACATAGGCGAAAATTTAGCAAGTAATATACAAGCAAATGTACAAAATACTCAGCCTCCAAAAAGAACTTTGAACTCATTTATTTTGGATAAAGTCGAGCAATGTGAAGTATACTCCACTGTTATGTCCTTAAAAAATCGGAAAAGTCCTGGGTTCGATGGTATTAAAAGCGAGCATTTGAAAATTATAGCCGAGGACATAACAGAACCACTCACTTACCTAATCAACAAATGCTTTGAATCTGGCATATATCCCTCAGTTTTAAAAAAAGGTAATATAATACCGATACATAAATCAGGAACAAAAACAGATGTTAACAAATATAGAAAAATATCAATAATATCCAGTGTAGCAAAGGTTTTTGAAAAAGTTTTATCTACTAGAATGATTCGATACCTCACAAAATTCAAAATTTTAAGTGAAAATCAATATGGATTTACAGAAGGGAAGGCTACATCGGACGCAATAACTAAAATTGTAAATCAAATATATCAAAATATTGATAACAGAATCCCTTCAATC